TAGCACGAAATTAATATAATATTAGCAATAAATACTTATAAAAAATTAAACTATTAAATTTATAATCTTAATTCATTTTACAATTAAGAATGTGTACTTTAAAGATTCACAGAATGGCATAGAATCACAAATGATAAGACAAATTGTATTGTATTATGAAAATACTTTTAAGGCAATATTTACTATTATATCTGTTCGAACTTTAAACGCATATTTTACTAATATCTCAATGATCCTTACTATTACATCTAAATTACGATTAGCGATAATTAGAAAATTCACTGAAATATTGGTGCCATTTAATATGAGATAACCCAAATAAAGAAGAGAGTAAATTACAAATTACATTGAAATCTTTAATCTAATTGAAGTACACTACAATTTAAATGACAATGAAAATTCGATAAAACGATAAGACAGAAGTGAAATAAAAGATAAATACAAGTTTATACAAATTCTTACAAAAAAAATTTAATTATTAAGGTTGTAAGCCTTAAACATCGTTTTTAGACAAAAATAAAAATAAATATTATCTTATTATTTGTTACAGAAACTAATTTAAATTTAAATTATCAATTAAAATAATATTGATTAAATATAATATAAAGCCATATAGAAATCTATTTCCAAATCATCGATAAACTTATAGGAAATGAATGTGTCAGTCGTCAATAAATAAAATAAAATGTAAATAAATATGCGATATTGAACGTAGTTTGCGCGTACGCATTTATATATTTTCTAATACTCCTGTATATTCGAGCTAATAATTCTTGATTATTAATTGATAATAATAACTTACTAAATATTAGAATGATGTATGTGACAATCTATTTAATTTGATAAAAAAATATTTTACAAAATTTATTAGTTATAACACTGAATCCAATATAAGTAAATTGTTCTCTAGTGCACCGCGACACGAACGCACGCATGTCTTATTTTTTACAACAACAAGGATAGAGGCAAAAATAAGACAATAGAACGGATTAGAATCTACGAAGCAGTTTGCAAAATTTTTATGTACTATATAGACTAAACAGATATGATAGGGATATGTGAGATAAGGAGAATATTTCATTTCGTACTGTAACTATATTATGGGGATAACATGAAAAAAGAATTATATATCAGTATTTGATTTTTTAATCCGTCCTGTGTAAAGAGAAAAGATCTCGGCTTTGATTTGTGGCAAAACAAAATATTAGTGGATTTTTACAATTGCATCATGTTCAATTTGGCATAATATAGCCAACTAAACAGTCCCTAAAACAGTAACAATAAATTACAAGTTTACAAATCATATAAAATCAATATCAATACTTTTATTAGCATAATCTAATTGTCACTATAGATTAAGAAATAATTTATTTAGTATTTTTTCTTGGCAATATAGTAGAAATACAAACTATTGCAAATCATTCATATAAATGTCATTAATATATAAAGTATTCAGACGATTATTAGAGAATAATTTCAAATAGTATATTTCAGTAGTGAACTATTTATATATAAATATTATAAGAAAGTGAAACTTATTTAAATATGCAGCTATTTCAAACAAATATACACTCATATAAATTGCAATGGAGTATATCAAAATGTAATCTCTCAGTTACTTTTATTCTTATACATACTAATATATATTTATACGGAATAATAAAAATTATTTTTCTTATAATTTCACAATGCATATAATAATTCAAATTCATTAGCGATTTTATTAAAACAGATATTTATTTACAATATCAAAGTACTATAAACAACATCTGAATATAACATAAATACAATGAGTGAGAATTAGCGCGATGATAATTAGGAAATAAAATGCTACAATAGTACAATTGTATGATATTACCAATAAACTTCAATCAAAAAATTAAATAAAAATTTGATTAAATTAATCAAATACTAGAAGAATATCGCATTTAAAATATGCCCATTTACAATTAATTTTTTGATATTTAAATATTATCATATATATTTTTCTATAATTTATTTACTTAAACATTATACAGGTTTCATTTAATAAGAGATTTAATAGAGGGGGAGTGAGAGAGAGAGAGAGAGAGAGAGAGAGAGAGAGAGATTATATTTGTTCAAATATCTTCAAAGAATATAAACTCAAAGTAAATATAAAAAAAACTAAATTGATAATAAAATTAATGACATTTGTTATTTTTTCGATAATTTGGGGCACTAATGGAATAGCAGATATCATAATAGATAAATTAAAATTGAACCGCATATTAATATAAGCTATTTAATTCAATTGTATAAACATAAATATATAAATATAAACAAATTGTTTGTTTTAAACCAAATACACAAAATATGCCAATAGAAATTACGGCACACGATAATGATCAATATAAAAACTGTTCTTTCTCTTTTGTTTTACTACCTGTAATTAATTTAATATATATATATATATATATATATATATATATATATATATAAAGTATTTTACAAATAAGACTATATTTATATTTTGTTTTCGAAAAGAAAAAACGTAAAACTATCTGTATCTTCGTTTTCTATACTTAGCACGTGCTTTAAGAATTGTATAAAACTTATTGAAAAGCAATGCCTAGTTAATTGTCATTTTAACGAAACTAACTATACTACCATAAGATTTTAAAAGCAATGTTGAAATTAATATTTAATTATTATATTTGCCTACAGATAAGAAAATTCAGAAATCGATGGATCAATAATTTCAATATTATCATTTATATATGTATCAAGATAATATTAACATGACATTTATATGTTGTAAAAGATATTTATTTAATTACGCTGATAAATTATTTCTAAAAGATAAGCTTTTAATAATTAAAAGGAAAATTTATTATGCTAGAACTATAAATTCGCTACCCAATGGTATGGTCATATACATATATATATATATATATATATATATATATATATATATATATATAGCTTATAAGATAAGTAAAGGTAAAATAAAATCACTGTAATTAATAAGATTTACAGTAAGTTGCACATTTATCCTAGGTTTCTACAATAACCTTCTAGATATCTATCCATAAAATTTCCATAATGGTACTTCAATTTCTTATATATATTTATAAAAGTTTTAAATAGAAAAAACATAATTGAATATTATATTGAAAATTATTCTTTCAAATTACGCGCAAAATGAGAAATGGCGATTCAAAATTAAAAAACATTTTTAAAATAATGTGAATTTATTCTGAAAATATGGAAAGACGTGTTTAAAGGAAAAATAAAGTAACAAATAGATAACATTTGTTCGATATAGGTATATATGTTAAAAAAAAAATGTTTACAATTTAAGTTTAGTTAATGCATATAATACTATGAAAGTATATGGTAAGTCCAAATTCATAAAAAAATTATGTATTTCATTATAACATTGGAGCAGCTTAATGATATAGGATAACCTATTTCATCGTGGATTATTACACAATTTATGATAGAGGAATGGTAGATAAGCACTTTAAAAATGTTGAAATGCGAAATACTATTATAACAGCTATCAATTTTATTACTTTAGTCATATATTGAAGATAGAATTATTAATATTGCAGTTGTATAATGATGAACCATATCGATTTTCTTATTCATTCTATCAAAGCCATTAATATTTCCTTTGGCATTAATAATCAAGCTTAGAAGCTATAAATAGTAATAGTGAATTTTATTTCAATCTGAATTAAAAATTATATACAAATGAATATGACAAATTACAGCCTCACAATTTATCCAATTAATGCTTTAATGCAAGCATAATATAAAATACTTTAGAATAAATACAAGTTGAACAACTGAACAGATAGTTGTGAAAATTTTTTTAAATAAACGTCAATTGAAGATTAAAATTACCAAAATAGATGTTATTACTCATGATGCTCTTAATCAACCTCATTATTACTTCGTGAAATACGTCTAAAGTAATAAAATCTTGACATGCAATCGCATTGTAATTTTATACACTACTGTTGTCATATTTTCAGCTATTAATTTACTTTCGAACAATTAAAACAATTTTTAAATTATTTGTCATGATCTAAATATAGACTGTTTGCATTGATAATTACTGTTAGTCGAAGGAATGAGTAATTGTATCTAGTTTATCTTTTAACGGCTTCTTATATTATCGGGCAGATGACAACAATTTTTATTTCACAATCAAGAAAATGATAATAATGCAAAAATAATTGTTTACGCAGACAATCAATAATTAACTTTCAAATTACCAATAAATGTCTAATTTTCTTGATAAACGGTGAGATGAAAAAAAAAAAAAAAGAAAAAAAAGCTTACACTAAAAATTATCATAAACAATTCATATGATAAGGATTGAATTTAGAAAATCTATAAAAAAACTTAATCGTCATTGAATAATTAATAATAGCAAACATAAATGCATTAATAATTAATTCAGAAAATATCGTTTTATCGACGATAAAATTAATATGTTTCACTAATGCATAATGTAAATCTGCATAAATTTATTCGCCTACAGCATATACATAGGAAAAGTAAAATCTACTATCGATATCATTACATCCAATAAGAAAGCCACTAATCTTAACTTATATACATGCTATTTCATTAAATAGTATAATCATAAATTTCCGACATACAATTATCGTTTATCGTATATGATTCGAGAAAAAGTCCGATCGCACCAAGTACAATAATGATCTTCCAAAATTAATTAAACGCGACACATACATAAACTATATAAAGGATCTCGAATCCTTAATCGCGTGCTTATTAATACAAGCGAAAGTAGGAATAGTCAACCACACCGCTGCTTCAACGCACTACATTAATCACCTATTATGTAAATAATAGGAATTTATACCTTGCTCTCATTGACATCACATATGACCACAATGACAACTCGTAGCAAACAATGAAGCAGGGGCGCGTGTCGCTATTCGTACTTTCTCTTGAAATCTCAACCATAGTCATCATCGTCCAATCCATGAATTCATAATCAACAGAGACCTCCGCTTCAATAATATCGTCGACGTCTATCCCGGCAACCTGCGTAACCTGAAACATCTGCACACACTGATGCTCAATGACAATCGCATTCGTCGCTTATACGCGTCCACGTTTTCCGGCACACCGAATCTCCGTTACCTGTACCTCTACAAGAATAACATCCAATCCATTCAGAGCGGTACATTCAGCAATTTGCCGCGGCTCGAGCAGCTTTATTTACACGGGAATGAGCTGCGGGATATCCCCCCGGGCAGTTTCAGCAATCTCCCGAGGCTGGAGCGCCTCTACTTGCAGAATAATCGATTAGAGAAGCTGCCGGCTGATGCATTCAAGAATGTTGGTCCCATGACGAAGCTGAGACTCGATAGTAATGCGCTCGTATGCGACTGCAAAATATTGTGGCTCGTCGAGATGATGAAGAACAAGATGGAGATGGCGGCCGTGTGTCAAGCGCCGAACGAGATGAAAGGCAAGAAGCTCGATGAAATGACAGCCGCTGACTTCCATTGCAGTTGAGTTCATAATCATTTATTTTTCATGATATTCGATTTTTATGTTACTCCCATATTGACTTAACCAGCGATTTCTATGAAGAAGCTCTATTGTATTTTGATAATAAAACTCTCAACTATCTCCTCCTCTAAATTCCTTAATTTTAAGCATCAGCATCACAACATACCTCCCTTCTACTTTGTATCCTTTTAATTTTTACATATAAATATCAATATATCCATATATCTATATATATTTTAATAATTTCCATTATATATTGTCGAATTTACGTATAATTAAACAATTGATTTGTACAAAATACACAATCACAGAATTACAATTATTTCCATAAAGTAAAAATCATATAATAAATTATAAAATCAAAATTTTATATAAATATTTTTGTTCTCAAATGCAATAAGCGCCTAATTTATTTCTTAGAGAGCATAAAAGCAATCAAAACAAAACAAAAAAAAAAGAAACTTACCTTAAAATAGAATTTAAAAATAAAACATTGAAAAAAATAGTTTTTAAAACGATAGTCGTTGATATTTGCATAAAAATTAATTGAATCTTCAAGAGGCTGACATTATGAAAAAAGAAAAATGTTTCTGATCGAATATTGCAATTGGCAGATTCGTCACTCTGCGCATCTTTCAAATTTGTCTTTTAGACTTTTTCAAGTTATTGCAATTTGATAAATTACCGTTACCTTCAACATTTACTTTTACTTTTAAAAAATATTTGTTTCTCAAATTATTTTTCTCCATTGAATAATTCAAAGCGATCCATGAAAAATGTATAGATAATCTTAAGCTCAATCCGATAATCCAATTTAAAAAAAAATCAAATTTTTTCACAAATTTATGATTACCATCTGAAATGCGATCGCCAATAACTTACTTATACTGGGTTATTACGAAAGCAATTTAATTTGGTTGTATTTTATGCCAGTTTAATTAATTATAAACAATACGGTCATTATATATTTTGAATTTTATATATGGTAGATACCATTATTACATTACATTACCATTATTACATTAACATTACTATCATTACATTACCATTATTACCATTATTACCATTATTACAAGGTTTGCAAAAAAATATTATTTTACCATTTTAAATCGTTTTTTTTTTTTTTTACTATCAAAATTTTGGTATAAATGATTATTCCTTCTTATTAACGATAATATAATCACTCATAGTCAGTGCTATTGGAAACAATGAATTTTTTGTATCAACCGTTATCGTTATTTATTGTCATAACAATTATCAACATTAAATAAAAAAATAACAAGGCGATCAAGCCAATGTCTTTCTTTTCGACGGCTAAATATTCCCGTCTAAATATTGAACTTTCAACCAAGTGATGTTGTACGGTTATGAACGGTCCATTTCAACAAAAAACAAATTCAATCTCGATGAAATTTCTTATATTGTTTTTCGGTAATTGGCTTCAAATAGTTTTATTACATTTAATATTTTGATTTTTTCAACGGTTCTACTTTACATGAACCGAAGTAATACAAAAATTGCCAGAATGAAATTTTGCAAACCAGTTCTGGCCGTTTTTTTTGTTTTTTTTTTTTTTGCACATCTTCTCAATGTACCTTACGTACCTTGTCCGTGCCACTTTTTCCATACTAAAAAGTTAAAAAAAAACCTCATATGCCATTCATTTTATTTTGCGTTTTTACTACTATATTCAAAAATTTTGCAAGTAGTAAAAATAGCGCTTTTCATAGGTGAATCTCAAAGTTCAATGTGTAGAGAATAGCAAAATATGATTTAGAATGAAGTTGAAAAGTTAAAAATTCAACCAACGCCACTCGTTTGATAATAAATGAAATTATTTCGATCGATACGTATACGTTGACTACAGTATCGTGAATTATTACGCTATATTGTAAAATTTTATTTTTATAAATAAGAGAAATGTTAAATGGATCGATTAAACCGATATACTTATCTAAACATTTATTTATCGCTTGAAACGTTAATCCTAGTAAAATCTTTATCTAAAAATATTTTTCCTAATTCGTCTCATTTCTCTTTAATTTCGATTTTTCAATTTTGTATATTTTCAAAAGTATTATTATTATTATTATTTCCTTTCTTTTTCACTTTAATATCTCCTATACTCTCTACTATCTCACTAATAGTAAAGACTGGAAATCATTTATTTTATTTCCAACTACCAAACTACAGAGCCGCCGACGCATTCAAATGAAACAGCATCCGCGCATTGCTTCAACCAATCTTTCTCAATGCAACCAAATTTAACGAACCAACGAAACCCTATAATTCCCTCCTCGGCTGCAGTCGAGTGCCATTTCAAAAAGTAAATGTCCTGCAGGCGAGCCGGTAATAATGGAGGGCCCGAAGGATGTGGAGGTGAATATCGGGCAAACGGCGATATTCCGCTGCCGAGCATCCGGGGATCCCCAACCGAACATCAAGTGGATGCGCGATTCGAACGAGATTCCAAGCGACGATGAGCGCTATGCTTTTATGGAGGACGGCAGCCTCGTCATCAACGACATCACCGAGAACGATGCCGGGGACTACGAGTGCGTCGCCCATAACGACATGGGCTACACCAAGTCGAGGGTGGCGAGGACATTCGTGGCCATCGCCGAGACTCCAATTTTCATCGAGACTCCGAGGTCGCAGACGGTGAGGGCCGCACTTGTGCACGATCGCGGTTGACACTGGCGATCAATTCTAGGCTTTAAGCTGTCATTTAAAAAGTACGAAGAAGGACGTTTTACAAATGGCTTGATACGCGAATAACCAATGATGCTACTCGGCAGCGATTATCGATTATACGTTATTACTTAAAGGTACGATGCATTTCCGTAGGTTGCAGTGGAACGTGGCCCGAATCAATTGTAGTGCGTAGCAGATTTCGCGTTGAGCTTGGAAAACTGATTGATATAAATTTTAAATTGAGCATAATTTCAAGCGTTAATCCACGTCCTCTCGTGCAAGGCGAGACCTTGCTCTATGCAAATGTTCGACTGCATAATTTCGAAACACGTGAGTCGTGCTATTGGCCGCCGACTGTTTATTCGGCTTAACGACTGCATTTTAACAATTGCATCGAGCGATTGTCTCAAGATTCATTGGATGGTATAAAATATAATTATCTCTCTTTAAGATGCTGTCGCATAGATCGATAAGATTGTCGATTTATTGCGTCGCTAATCTTACGATCGTACAATTCAATAAGATTTGATATTCTTACAATTTATGTTATTACGATCTCATTTTGTTATCAAAATAAATAAACATATTTTTCAGTTTAAGAGCTAATTTAGTAGCAATAAGATTTTTAGACCTTTATACTTCTATTGTGCTGAATACGATAATATTTTTAAGAATTACATTAATGATACTTTGGAATATTTCACGATATCACAATATAATAAGAAACATTACAATATAAAGTATTACGATAAAATACTATTATATATGACCTTTTGTGTATTATTAAATTACTAGGTATTGTTTAAAAATAAATAATGAGCGATATAGGGGCGGGGGGGGGGTAGTAGGGAGGGATGGGAAGAGATAGAATAAAGAATTTTCTGCTCTCTATAATATATCGAGCTTAAGGGGGCTTAGAGAAGAATTAACGCGATCGTAACCAATGGACGACATACGTCCGCTTAGTCCTTCCGGAGTTTTTCTTCGCATAAATTTAAAATTCGCTTTTACCCAATATGTTTGAACTTTGTCTTCCGAGCGTGTAACTCTAGTTCAACCTACCTAGAAACTGTCCGCACGCCAGAGAAGAGAAATAAAATGGACTTGCGGAATCCATGGAGACGAATTTCCGATCGAAGGCAATAGCAGTCACTGTTTTAAAATCGAGCCGATAATTTGTCTCCGGTCTTGGCTTATTAATCTTCCAAAATTTATCGTATAACCTCACCTCGTAATTTTACAATTCACATTATAATGTAACATTGACAATGATAATTCACCTATTAATTGGAATTTTTCCATCACTACATTCATCCTGTCCGATTTACTTTATTGTTCTTTGTTTTTTTTCTTTTGTTTTTTTTTTTTTTTTGTTTTTTTGTTTTGTTTTGTTTTTGTTTTGTTTCTTTGTTTTGTTTTGTTTTTTTTTTTTAACATTTCAGCGTACTTTATTGAAATAACGACGGGCCGTGCGATTAATTTGTTTATTGGTGTATCTTGCCGGATTACGGACTACATGATAAAATCAATAATTTTTAAGTGAGCGTAAATGCCTAATTACATTTGATATGCCGTGCAAGTTAACTAGCTGACAGGAAATACGTATAGATAATAATACGATACATATTTCAAATCAGATAACTTGCATATTTAAGCTAATTAATTTAGCAACGTAGAGTTTATGCAAACTATAGTTAACAAACAACTTATTTGCATTTAAGATTTATTCTAACTATATAAATATACATGTTCTATTGCATTATATTGTTCATGATTTGATAGTTGGAATATACAAATATAAATTCTATATTGTTTACACTCTCCATTAAGAATAACATATGATCTTTCATTCGCAATATTGATAATAATATTAATAATAAACTATGTTTAGAAATAACGAATAAAATATATGTTATATATAAAATATTGAAACTTTCACATTACGCTTGGATTAGTCATTATAATGACATTGCAATGCAACTCAATGAAATGTGTTGTAAAATATCTAACAATGGAATTTATGAAAATGAATAATATCATAAACGCGTTACCTTTAATGCTTGATTAGATAAATTAAAAGCACTCCCTATTATTAGCTCAGAGACTTAAATGAAAAGGTACTCGCTAATTCGTTTAAAATTTTAAATGAAGTAACGATTTCCTTATTATCCATAAAATGCAATACAAATTTGAATAAAGATGAATTTAAGGGGAAAAAAAGTTTTTTAAAGGGGTGAAAGGAGGGGTGTTGAATTTTTAATGCCCCTCCGATAAATCGATGCCACGAAACTTTAAAGCCTCCTTGCGACGCATCAATAACTTAAAGAAGCGATTAATAATAAATAAGTGGAAAACGTGGCCTCGATAATGGGAGCAACGGCGCCTTCACGACCTCGTCAAAGCTGTAAATATTCCCGATTAATGTCACAGGTCCACTCGGGCATGGACGTGGTGCTGGTGTGTCGGGCCGAAGGTCAGCCGTCGACGCGAATTGAGTGGTGGCGTAATGGCTCGAGGCTAAGAGCACACGGACGTCTCCACCTCGAGGACGGTGGCAGCAGTCTCAAGATCCTTGCGGTTAAGGAGAGCGACTCGGCACGCTACGTGTGTCAGGCTCACGGATCCGCGGGTCTCGCCGAGGTCAGCGCCGACCTCAATGTCATCGACGCCGAGTACAAGCCTCCGCGGCTCATATTCGAGCCCCAGGACATGGAGGTCGAGCCCAACTCGATAATCGAGCTGCCGTGCAGAGCCGAGGGAAAACCCGCGCCAAAAATCCTCTGGCGCAAGGATGGGAGCACACTTGAAGGAAACAGGAAGAGGATCTCGAAACACGGCAGCCTCTACCTCTACAACATCACCGCGCTCGACACCGGCAGGTGAGTTTTGGGTAAGGTGACGCGCAGTTAGAGAACCGCTAAGAGGTTTATCCTTAAAAGGCCAGAGAAGTAGTATTTAATCAGTTGGATAATGTATTGGATAATTATCGAATCCTTTGACCGTAATGGATGTGATCCTGCGTGTACGGCGAGCGAAGCTACTTTTAGTTATCGGCAACTTTTCTGCTTTTGTTTAATGGACCTGGACGAGAAATTTATCGCGGCTCTGGTGAAAATTCGTTTAACTAGAGTTATCCGATACCTAGCGATACCGCGCTCAAATTTATCTCGTTTATCAACTTGAAATATAATATAATAAATAACTTTATCGGATTCTTCGTTTCCATTCAAATGCCACTTTTTTTTTCTTTGATAATGAAATGAACGGTATTATAAGTTTTCCGAGCAATAATAATCAGTTTGAAAGTTTATAATCGGGAAATATATTTTGTCTTTGTTTTATTAATTTACTTTTCCCAGGACAAGGCCTCGTTGAAACTTTATTATCGTTTCATAAATTAAGCATTTTTAATCGATATCGCCGTAAGGTATCGATGATTTATTAAGATGAGACACTCCTAATCTTTTCCACTGAATATTCAATTAAATTCACATTTATCCATCTCACTGTATAAGTAAACGATGCTTTGTCCATGTTTTAAGACATTGTGAGAAATATTGATAAAATATGGAAGGATAATGTCACTTTGATTTTATAATGATTAGCACGATCGAGCATGTAAATGTTCGTTCGTTCGTAAACAAATTTTCATTATTAAAAGAAATGATTTCTTTGTTTAAATGGCAGTTATTATTGCACATTTGCTGGTCTAAAAAAGATAATGAAAGCTGAAAAATGGAACATAGAAGAGACAATAAACATTAGCGTAGATTAAAATTAGCACTAAGAGGTAAAAATTGTTTCGGTCATCCGTACGATTAAAACGCGCTTTTACATTGATATAATTTACAGCCCTACGATATTGAAAGTTAATGCAAGAATGCTTAGTGGCTTTAGCAAAGTTCGATGCAATTTTAAAACTAGAAGTACTAAATAGCAGGCGGTAATTTTTTTTTTTTTTTTTTTAACGCATAATTACGAGTGCGCGATGAATTATCTTCAAGCGGCAATAACACCTATGACACGTTGCCATTTCATTAATTGGCCAAACAATATCTCTTTACGATGAGACACGAAGGGAACACTGTCACGTCTCGGTTCCCTTAAGCCTCGAAAACTTTCTGCAACCGCGCCCAACACTATCCTTATAATTCGATATTTATTAGTCGATGATCACCGAGATTGAAGTATCGAGAATCGGCTCGACGTCAGCTGCTTAAAATCTCGTGGCCAGCGGGTGATCGTCGCTGATCATAAATCGTGGCTCCCACCCCATCCCCCACCCCATCTACCACAATCCCAACCTCATCGACAGTCGCATTAAATGCTCCCTAGGTACGAGTGCACGGCGGTGAACGAGCACGGGCGCGTCTCAGCAGGGGCGTTGGTGCGCGTGCGTCAGATCGGGGCGAGCAACGCCCTCGTGCTCAGCGCCTTCTCCGAGGCGAGGCTCGAGATCGACCGGGCCATCAACAACACCCTCGAGGAGCTCCTCGAGCCCGGCGCCAGGCTCAACCCCTTCCGGCTCTCACGATTCCCGGACGCAGTTGCGAGGCGCGTCGCCAGGCCCGCCGAGCTCTTCGAGCGCGCCCTCGTCCACGTAAGGCGGCTCGTTGACTCCGGGCGCTACGCCAACATCACCGAAGATTTCCACTACGAGGAGATACTGAGCGCCGAGCAGGTGGGTTATTCGACGAGCCTCGGCATTTGCGACACTCGATACTTTACTGAGCGACGATAGGTTCCGCGGTTTGCCTACGTACTTTGTCCTCAATGAGAATTATTTCAACGCTCGTAACCGCCAACCACTTTATTACCCGTAAGTAATTTGTTGATTTGTGCTGCTGCCCTCGCTATAGCCCAGACTCGATTAAGCGGCGACTAAGTGCCCTCGGTTAGCTAGTTCGCCGCGATACTCGGGATGAAAATCTGATTTTCTTAATGGAGATGAGAAAGATAATTACGAGGGGATGAAGTTGAAGTTTAGCCGTTCCGTTTATTAAACTGAAGATTGACGTGCTTTTAAGGCGCAAGACAATGGCGCTTTACCTCCGCCTTCCTGTAGATTAGTATTCTTATTTAAAGTAGTCGCGAACGGCAAAACTATAGTTGCCGAAACAAAAGAATCTGCTCAGCTTTATAACAATACAAGGATTCTTTCCTTTATTACTATTCTCTTATAAATGTCCTAACCAGGTCGGGCATACATTATTTAATCTTGAAAGCTTAACGAAATTTTCAAAAATATTACGAATATTTGTTAAACTACTCTTTTGTATGAAACTTGTCTATCCTAGTTTCCCTAAGCAAATCATGAACTTTGAATGTAGATGTTTTTCAAAATTATCTCGAAAATACTCTAGAGAGAAAGAAACTTATGAAGAGTGAAATATAAATATAAATTTTCGATTTTTAAACAAACATGGCAACTAGATATAGCACGACTTTGGTTCAACGCTTTTTCTTAACGAGCCCCACAAAATTTCTCCAACTTGTACTACAATGCGTAAGAATACTTTCAAAATAAAAATTAAATAAAAATAGAAATAAAAATAAAGATAACAATAATAACAATAATAATAACAACAACAACAACAATAATAATAATAAATGAAAGAGAGAGAGAGAGAGAGAGAGAGAGAGAGAGAGAGAAAAGAGGGAAATAGGGGGAAGTGATGGGAAAAAAGAGAAACACCCTTTAATAAGTACTTTTCAATATTAATGTTTCCGCGTACTTTTTATAATGAATTTAGAAGCACAATGCTTTTTATATGACAATTATTTTACAAAATTTAGCGAGAATGTTCGAACAAGTCACTCGTACACGTACTAGTTTATAAATTCGTCTCATTCTCGTTCCCTCTAATGTAATTAAATTCCAATTGATATTCGACATCGGAATAATTAGTCCCACTTAAGTAGATGAAAAAAATTGATTCAAATTTATATTAAAAAAAGTATTACAGAAAAAATATTCTTAGAAAGTGTCTGATCAACAACGCATTTATTCCACTGATTCCACATACTTAGAATATACTGTCGTGCCTGTAATCGTTGATTCCGCTTCACTTGCGGCCATGTAAAATTCCATTTCCAAAACCTTTTTCCTCTCTCTCTCTCTCTCTCTCTCT